ACGAGCTTTACGATTTTGTCTAGAATTGCAGTATAAACCTGCCTGATTACTTTAGCCGAAAACGCAACGTAATTTGTTTGGTTATCTTGGCCGGAATAATGGTTCGTTCATTTCTCACCAAGCAGTCTGTTTAATGTATCCTGATTAATTCAACGAATCTTTCTCCGCCGTGCGCGTCGCAATGCAGCGAGAACGAAGGAACGAGCGACTCGAGTCGGCCGGGGTTGTGCGAAAGGGTAAAGATGCCGATGGAACCGCGCTTAAAAGGGGCTGGTTGATCGATGCTCCGTGGCCTTCCCTCGTTATCTCACGGAACTCGGTGCGTTCTATCGATCGGTACAGCTTCCCGGGCCGTTCCGGAGCCTCCTTCGGACCGAAAGCCTCTTTCGCTCCGGCTCGAGGAGCATCGCGGAAGAGAGACGCAAAGAGCGACGTACGGCGGGAGGAGAAATCCGCAGCAACCTGCGACGGTGAACTCGTGTCGCGCGCGGAGCTGACCGGAAATTGTCGCGAGAATCTCGATCTCGATCAGGTAGCCGATGAAATGATTTTGTTACACTGCCCTCACAGACTTTCGTGATTATATCACGACGTAAGACAATCGATGAGAGGGAGACTCTACCATCTTTTTCATTATGAGTCATCATTCACTTCATTATCATTCATTTATGAAGCAAATGTACTATGTTGAATCGATCATTTCACTCAGATCATACACGATAAGGCGAAAATACCAATACTCAGACACATACCTGAAAGAATGTCCTCGATATTTTTATTGTTTTTGTCTTTAAATATGAATATTTGGACTTTCAAAACATGGAATGTATGTATATATACTCAATGCTCGTATATATTTTATATAAAGTTTAAAGAGTTTAAATATTTGTATTTAAAGACCAAAAAAAAGAATGTCCAGGATTAAATCCGTGCATTTTGTACTTTTAGCTAAATGTAAATTTTTCGTTATATTGGTGCAGTTACAAATTTACTAAAAGTTGCACTCTGATTTTCATGTTAAATTCTGCATAACATGTTGTTCTGAGCAAATTTGCCGTCATTCTTTCTGTATTACCTTTGTATTTCTATTTTCTTGATCCATGCGAGAACTTATAAGGCATGTAATCTTTACAAATCGATTAATGAAGAATTCTCAGGTAGACTCATGATTATCACGATGTGAGACAATCGACGATGGAAACTTCGTAATTTTTTTTTTATTACATTTGTGAGACGAATATACTGTATCGAATCGACCATTAAATTTACATCGTGCAATGATATGAATTTTTCTGTCATATCGATGCAGCTACAAATTTCCTACGTTCAAATTTTCAGTGTTACGTTCTGTACGGCATATTGTTTTGAACACGTTATCATTCTTTCTATTTCTATTCCGTTGTTCTATGTGATAAATATGAACATTATATGAACCTGATAAGATTGTCTATTCGAGTGGAACGATGAATATGCAAACTTTTCATTTCTTGTCGATAAAAAAAAAAGGAAAAAAGGGTGTCGACAATGATCGGTTCTACACTCAAAGAAAACGACACGATGATAGCAACTAGACAATTTCCGTATATGTAGAATCAATATATACATGGACAGAATTTTATAATAAAAATTACTAACAGAGGAATAGACTGACATTATGCAGTAATTGACTCTCTTTTTGTTTTACATTCTTGAAATTGGAGTGAAATTTCACTCGAGAAGTAGAGCGTAGAAAATTACTAGAATTCGAATAATTTTTCATATAGAGTGAATTCTTTATTCTGAATCATCGAGCGAATATTTTCACTCGAAATTAAAGAGTGAATTTAATGTATTCCATTGTCACATATTCACTCTAATCAATTGAAACATTTGCTTATATGGAGTCAAAATCCACTCCAAGCTTAAGCGAAACATTCATTCCTGTGATCTCTTGGCACTTTTCACACATTTTGATTTAGATTCTTTTAAAAAAAATTTAGAGAGTACATGCTATTTATATATTTTGGGAACTCTGAAATGCAATATTAAAATATTTATTGTATCTAATCAAATTTACTACGTTCCTTAGCAAGATAGACCTTATCAGCAGTCTATTCTTGCAGTGCTAGAAACACAGTAAAATTGAAAAGGATTTATATGAGAAAGAAAAACTACAATATTCTCTCCATGTATATAGTTTAATAGTTTAATATTATTTTGTAGTTATGGCAACCAGAGCGGAATGATTAGGAGAGCTAACAACCTCTCGGGCGTAACCACTCGGCTTCGGCCGCAACATAACTACAGAATAGTTGATCAAACTATGTATAGTAATTTCCTAGATACACAGAACTCGTGCAAAGCTGTATCACTTGTATGGTTGCCACCGGCATGTATTTTTCTCCGATTACGGATGGCTGGCTATCTGGAGATTCGTTGAATTAAACTCGCGTTTACCACTTCTGAAATACGGCCGTGCTCGAGCAGAAGTGAATCCCCGGCATCTTGGCGGCGAGAGCACTCTTGCGTGCATACACAGGCCGCGTTTTCGCGCGAACCGACGGATATTGTGTGTTCCTCGACTATCCAAAGCGGTGCACCACCACCGATGGGCCTTGAGATCACTCTCTCGGCGCTGCACCATCGGTGCGAGCAAGGCGAGATCTCACACGAGACGATATCGGACGTGGTCCGTGGTGCAGCCGGTCGCGCTCGTAAAACCGGAAGCGTTGTTAGTGGAACGCCCAGTGGTTCGCTGTGGACGTTGTTAGAGAGAAAGAGAGAACGGGCAAGCGGCACATACATTTCACACGGCACTCGCACACTCCCACACGCGCACACCCACACAAGGGCGAGATATCTCGCGCTGCATCGTAAAGTGCGCAAATAAACCGAACTCAAGTCAAACGAGCGAAACTCAAACGAGGTGGGGACGGGGGGAGGGCGGTTTCGGTGCTGCTGGGGACAGGAGGAGTAAGAGGAGGACGAAGAAGAAGAAGAAGAAGAGGAGACGGAGGAGGGCAGGAGGGAGAGGAGAAGGAGGAGAGGACGGTCTCGAAGTCGTAAAACCGTGTCGCGAGCGCTATAACGAATGCAATGCGGAAATGCGTCGGCTAAATCCCAGAACGAGCGACAGAGAGGGGCCGGCGAGAGGGTTGAGGGTGGAAACATATAGAGAAAGAGAGATAGATAGAGAGAGAGAGAGAGAGAGAGAAAGAGAAAGAGAGTGTGAGATAGAAAGAGAATGAATGGTCGAATGGGATGTATATATTCAGCGAACTTTCCTGACTAATCCGCCGAGCTTTATGAAGCTCTTCTCGAGGCGGGCATAAATTCACGCGAATCCGCTGTTATTGTAGACGACGGGTACCTTCGGAGGCGTGTGGAGAAACGACCGAGTATTTTCCGCGGTGCGCATTTGCGTGACGTTATTTTGGATTCGCGAGCACACGTAGGCGTTCGGAGAGAAAAGCGCTCCGCGAAATCCGAATCTCGCGGTCTCTTTCGCTCGTATAAGTTTGCGACAGGTTCGATTGATTCCGGTACTCTCGGCACGTCGACGCGACAACGAACAGTTATTTTCACTCTTTTGGTTAGCACAAAAGGAAAAGAAAAACAGTTCCGAGAACGGGGAAGAACTCGGTGCTTTGTGTAACGCGTTTTTCGTACAACACCATCTATTGATTCGTGGTATGTTCGATTGTCGACGAGAAGCGCAAGAAAAGCAGGCGGGGAATGCTTAACGGGGATGTGACAAAACGTTGACGCGGAGAAACAAAAAGGGAGAGAGAGAGAGAGTGAGTGAATGAGTGAGAGAGAAAGAGAGAGAGAGAGATAATGGGGCGAGGGGATGAGAGATTGCCGCGTTAATTCTGCGTGTGAGTGGACGACAGGAGGTGTGTGTGGGTACATAGGCGGCGATGTGTGAAACACAACGGATGTCGATTCGTAAAACGCAGGAAACGAGAAGACAGAGTGACAGAGAACGTTGCGTTAAGGTGTTGTCTGACGATTAATGGGCGATTAATATTAGCTCAAAATCCAAAGTCCGAGGACGACTATACAGCACGTTTGAAGGAAGTAGAAGTAGTAAAGAAGAGAGATGATGAGACGAGAGAAGATAAGAAATATATGTAAGTATATTTATATATATAGATAGGCAGATAGACAGACAGAGATATACAGGAACGAAGAGAGACATCAACTGAACAAACGAGAAAATAATATTCCCGCGTGGAACGTTCGTGCCGACGTCGTTCTACTGTTACTGTCGCGCTACCGTCGAAAGAGATGTTGCGCGCACATGCCAGTTTCGACATGTAGCGGCTCTTGATCGGAGAACACATTTATCCCCGAGACTCTCTTGGAAAAGCGTTTCCCAGGCGGTGCACCGCGCGACGGCGCGGGGGATTTTTGCGCGTGCGATTTTGCGCCGTTGGATCCGGGCTCGTTTGTAACAGATACATCGATAATGCGGCGACATACACAAGTGTACTGATTTTGAAAGAAAGAAAGGAAACAGTAACTGAGACCAGCGAACAGATAATCGTACCGACGTTAAAATGTCGGATGACAAGATGCCAATTAACGTAATGATAAAGAAATTGCAGTAGCGAGACCGTGCATTACTTTTTTTCTTTTTCTTTCTGCCTATCTACGTGGCTAGGAACGAGAGACGCATTACTACAAATATTACGTTTATGCAACGAGAACGTACTTGAATTCAGCAGAACGCGTCACGAAGCATATCCGCGCGACGAAAGGAAGAAACAAAAAGACAGGAAGGAAACGAAACGCAAGAGAACACTGACAAAAAAGAAAGGAAAGAGAAAGAGAGTAAGACAGTAAAAGAGAAAGAGAGAGAGTGAGAGAGAGAGAGAGAGAGAGAGAGTTAAGATTAAGATATATATCACAAATATATCGTAATACAAAAAGAAAAATCCGTTGGGTTACTTTTGGCACGCTTCGAAAAAAGAAAAAATCTGGCGTCAAGTAAGTCGTCGGCTCTCTCGGGGACTTACCATTCTTTTTTTGGACAACGACTTTGGCTGCGACTTTACGGGGGTTGCGGTATGCCGAACAATCGGAGTTTTGAGTGGTAGTAGTAGTAGTAGTAGTAGAAGTAGTAGTAGTAGTAGAAGTAGAGGTAGTAGTAGCATAGTGTCGTGCCGAGATAGGAGGAGTCCAAGGCCAGTGTGATTGATACAAATATAATAGAGAAGGAGTACGATAAAAGACAGTCAGTGCAACTTCAGAGGGGTCGGGGGGCGGTCAAAGGGGGCAAGGGGTTTGGCGAGAGGGCAAGGGTTTGTGCACGGCGCGTGTATCTTTCATAACAATTAAAAAAGAGGTGAAGACCCCCACAAGGGGCTGTCGGGGCATCTCCTTATTGATCGAAACACTCGGGGTCTCTCTGCGTGAGCTCTTCTTCTTTTTCGATCTCAACGGCGACCTAGCCGCGGAAAGCCGGCGGAGACACTCGTGAGCGCGTCCTCCGCGAGACGGCGGGGGATTCCGGAGCGCGGTGAGGGGATGGGGACGGTGGTTCTGCTTGATTTTCCTCGTCGGGGTTTGGACCAGACCGGCGGATGGACGCTCTTAGACCCGTGTGGTCTGACCGACTGACACGGAGGTGCGATATCGATCTGACCTTCCGACGTGCCGCGAGAAAGAGAAAGACAGGGAGAAAGAGAGAGAGAGAGAGAGAGAGAGAGAGAGAGAGAGAGAGAGAG